AACAGAGGAAGAGAAAGGCCCCAACTACGATGGAAAGACCTGAACGACTTGGTTTCACTTGACATTTCCAATAGGCGTCAGTTTGCGCAGAAGAGAAACGACTGGCGTTCTTTGTTGAACTCTTTTCCAAAATCGCTTAGGCGATTACAGCGCCAAATAAGAAGAACTTTGTGCGACCCAGATGCATCTGCGAGAGCGAAGAACCTTATTATTTCTTTATTTATCTTTCAAAGGATAATCGTAACAGTAGCAATCCTTTACACATTAAAATAAGAAAAATATGCATGGTCGTAAAATTTTAGCTTAGAAACCCTGAATAAGCAAAATAAGCAATTCCATGCTAAAGGCCATTTTGCAGGTCTCAAGAAAACGGCAAGAAAAAATAGCCATTATTTCGCAGGTGTGTCCAAGGAATTTTGACATCTGATACTTTACCAGCGTGTTGCCTCACTTTCTCCTCAAGAAATAATTGAACGGGAATATATTTGTGTTGCAAGCAAGGTTGCTTGTGCTCACAAAAAACTTTAGAAAGCAAATTTCTTAAGAACTGCGTACTTTCTCAAGAAAATTTTCAACAATCAATTTTCTTAGCCATTTCTTGTATCTTCGTCATTTTATATGGGGTTTTCGCTTTTCTTGAGAGCTGCATACTTGCCTTTAACATTTTCGGCCCCAATTATGACGTTCTTCTAGCATCATATTGAACCAAGATTCTTAGTTTTGAGTTTTGAAATTGAATTTTATGGAGTTCTCTTTTTTATGTATTTTCTTAAAAGTTTTTTCATAATACATATATTCAATGTATATTTTGAAGATTTTTTTTTATAAACTAACAAGGTGCCATTTTTAATTTTACCTTTTCAGATGTCCGGTGATATAAGATCAAGTGACAGCGATGATGTTTCAGATAGCTCTGAAAGTGCACTTATCCTTCCGAACGGAAATCATGGAGAACAGACCAAAAAATCTAAAGATTGTATTTAAAAAAAAAAAATCAAAAAACATTTTATGCACATTTGTATAGTATGTAAATAAATAGTATAAAACCTTGTTTTTTGAACCGTTTCAACCAAAAATGTTATTTTTTAAGTGATTCTAGTAAAAATATTCCAGCGGTATTATGAGTTGAATAACCAAAATTGCAATGATTCTATTAAATGTGAAATAGATTTTATATTGTGTTTTTGGAATAGAATTGTATTTAGATTAACGTAGGAATAAGATGATGTGAAATTCGTTGTTACTTCACTACATTCTTTCCTTAATTATAATTCTAAATAGAAGTTTTCCATAAAAATATCTACACGAACAATATTGTTGATAATTCATAATATCAAAGCCCAAAATATTTATACGCGTAGCAACAGTTTCCAGGAATTGCAAAATCTACATACATATACGGGAAATTTCGTATTCCTAGAGATTGAAATTAACTATGTACGCCTCATGGTACAATTATTACAGGTATTGTCTGCCTTATTTGAAAAACATCATTGTTGCCCACACTAAGAGGTTTACTGTAAAGGAAAAGGAATATTTTGATACACCATATACTTACCACCGGTCACCGCTGTGGTGTAGTGGTTAGCAGTGCGCGTTACCAATCCTCAACTCCGCAGGGCCTGGGTTCAAGCCCTGGTCAAAGCAACATCACAAAAACAATATAGAAAAATAGCTTTTTCTTAATAGCGGTCGCCCCTCGGCAGGCAATGGCAAACCTCCGAGTGTATTTCTGCCATGAAAAACAGCTTCCCATAAAAATATAATCGCCGTTCGGAGTCGGCGTAAAACAGTAGGTCCCTCCACTATGTATTAAAACATCAAGGTGCACGCCACAAATCGAAGAAGAAGCTCGGCCAAACACAAACATATGTATAAGCGACAATCGGTTATTATTATTATTATATACATACTAAAGGCCTGCAAATGTTGAACTATAAAACATAACATGTGTCACATCATGCAAGTGCCAGTTCATAGTATGTCGCTCATACATGTTTCACAATAACATATGAAGACACTGTCGAATAATTGAAATCGAATCATGCATCAAATCTATGCATGTCAACACAAGCAACACATGCGACATAAACAGCATTATTAATTACATTTTATATACGGGAAGGGATTTCGCAATTTTTTTAAGCACCTATTATAGTAAAATGCATTAAAGAATTGTCTAATTAAAAACCTGTATATATTTTCATCCAAGGCAGGATCAAACAGTATTAAAAATATGCTACAGAAGAACAACAGCGAACAACAGCTTAGCTAAGTAGCAACGACATGCTAAAACAGTATGTTTGAGATGGAATGACATGGCATAACACCTTTTTTGAGTTGACATGACAGCAATGCATGAAATTTTTAAAAACACATTTTTACAGAAAGCGTTGAATTTTGCAGTTCTTTAATACATACCATATATGTATACAGTCAGCCAATAAAGTTTAGGTACAGGGAATTGTTTACAATACCGGCAACTATTTTTTAAATATTTTATTTTTCGCCAATTTTTTATAAAAATATGGTTGATTCTACAAAAAAAGCCTAAAAAATCAGAGTTGGAAACCTTATGCAAAATTAAAGAAATTTCTGCAAATTTTCATCTAAATATTGCACTTTTTATTTACAAAAGTTGAGTACGCAGTTTTTTGGCCCATTCAATTTTAGTGAAACAAAGTGCAAGTTAGAGGTAGGTAGGACTTACCATTGACTTTTAGCAATTTTTTTTGTTGAAGGTGTCGCTCATATTCTCCATATAAAATAATGTTCGATAATTTTTTTATATGGAAAAAATGTGCGACACCTTCAACAAAAAAATTTGCCAAAAATTAATGGTAAGGTCTTAGCTTTCTCATACTTGCACTTTCTTATACTAAAATTCTAGAGGCCGTAAATAAAATGAAATTCTGCGGAATTTTCTTTAATTTTACACAAGGTTTTGAACTCTGATTTTTGGGGTTTTTGTAGAATTAACCATATTTTTATAAAAAATTAGCGAAAAATAAAATATTTACAAAATAGTTGCCCGTATTGTAAAAAATTTGCTGTACCTAAACTTTATTGACTGACTGTACCTATTTTTTTAAACAAGCCTTCTTGCAGAGAACTTTTTTAATTTACAGAAGCTGAAAAATAAACATTTTCCTAGAGCCTTGTTACACGATATGTATTTGGCTCATTCCATTTCAAATCACCCAGGCCGAGGGAAAGTGAATTTAAATTTGCGATAAAACTCACAGGGATTGTTCCTTGAACAATTTAAGGAGACACGTATTTTTTCTTTTTGCTCGGAAATGCGAATTTTCGAAAAAGGAATTTTTTTCTTTTTGAGTACGAATGCTTATTTTTTCCTCTCTTAATAGCAACTTTTGATGAAATCGTTTATAACTGCCGCAAAAAAGCAAGGATTTTAACGATTTTTTTTTTTTAAATTGCAGATATTGATCTACTGAATCGATCTATTGAACTAAACATCCGTAATTGTTTATTAATAATTAATTATTGTTTATAAACAAAAAAAAATTTTTTTGTTCCAATTGATTTGTTTCAAATTGCCAATTTTTTTTTTTTCTCTCAAACTTTTTTGTCTATTAGGGAATAGTATAAACTATTTTCAGTACGAGTAGCAATATGCTAAAATTCATCGTTTTCGAGTTATGATTTTTTTTCTGAAAATGCACTTATATGATGCTAGCAGATTTTCGTGCCAGTTGAGGGCACAAAAATTGTTGCCCATTATGATAAAGTTTCCTTGCTGGAAATTTTTTGAGGTTGCCCGATCAGAGCCAAAAGTTTTTCCCAATTGGGCTCTAATTTTGGCCCAATTGGGGACCAATTAGCGATTTGCCCAATCTACCGAAGATTTCCCCAACCAGTGCTCACAATTTGCTCAAAGTGAACATGCATACGCAATTAAAACGTTTTTATCGATAAAATCACACATACACACATCAAAATTCCCTACGAAAAAAAATATTTTTTAATTTTTTTCTTGAAATATTTTCCACATACAAATTTTTTGATAAACAAAATTAGTATTTGAAAATATGCCATTTCAAAAAAAATTGGAAAAAAATCACAATGGTGGTTGCTCTGAGTATTACGCAATATTTAAGTATAATGTTATGGGGTGCACTCTACAATAATTTGAGTTATGAATTTTTTTTACACCGAAGTTGAGAAAAATGAGTACATTACAATAAAAAAAATATAAAAATTAATTTTTTTTAGAATTTTTTTGAGTATGCAATTTTGTAGCCCATTAAATTTGAGTATAATAAAGTGCAAGTGTTAAGCTACTGCAAAATTGCGTTGATTTTTTATGCTCACGGCTTCTTGCACTTTTTCCTTATCGATGAAAATGCCTAAAACCGTTTTCAAAGAAAACTAAAAAAAAAATTAACGGCAGTTTTGCAATCGCTTAAAACTTGCACCTTATTATACTAAAATTTAATGGGCTATAAAACTGCATATTAAAAAAAAAAATCTAAAAAGGTTTAAAAAATTTGTAAATTGGTAATGTACTCATTTTATTCAACTTGTTTGTAAAAAAAAATTCATAACTCAAATTATTGTAGAGTGCACCCCATAACATTATACTTAAATATTGCGCAATACTCAGAGCTACCATTGTGATTTTTTCCAATTTTTATTTGAAATGGCATATTTTCAAAAAAGAATTTTTTTTATCAAAAAAATTGTATGTGAAAAATTTTTCAAGAGAAAAATTAAAAAATATTTTTTTCGTAGGGAATTTTGATGTGTGTATGTGTGATTTTATCGATAAAAACGTTTAAATTGCGTATGCATGTTCAGTTTGAGCAAATTGGGAGCACTGGTTGGGGAAATCTTCGGTAGATTGGGCAAATCGCTAATTGGGTCCCAATTGGGCCTAAATTAGAGCCCAATTGGGAAAAACTTTTGGCTCTGATCGGGCAACCTCAAAAAATTTCCAGCAAGGAAACTTCATCATAATGGGCAACAATTTTTGTGCCCTCAACTGGCACGAGAATCTGCTAGCATCATATAAGTGCATTTTTCTCTGCGGCTGGTCGAGGTGTTGTGATGAGCTAAGCGCACAATAGATCTACCGGTCGCAGTGCTATACCTAACCATCTATCTGTCTATCTAACATGTACCCTGCAGAAAAAATTATCAATTTATAAAAAATAAGCCACTTGTTTTCTTTAAACGCGTTTCTATTTAAATATCCTGCACTTCGCAAATACTTTTTCGACTTTTTACTTTTTTTTTGGGCCCCAATTGGGCATAAATTACAGTCCAATTGGGGAAAACTTTTGGCTCTGATCGGGCAACCTCAAAAAATTTCCAGCAAGGAAACTTTATCATAATGGGCAAATGGGCAACAATTTTTGTGCCCTCAACTGGCACGAAAATCTGCTACCATCATATAAGTGCATTTTCAGAAAAAAAATCATAACTCGAAAACGATGAATTTTAGCATATTGCTACTCGTACTGAAAATAGTTTATACTATTCCTAATAGACAAAAAAGTTTGAGAGAAAAAAAGAAGTGGCAATTTGAAAAAAAAAATTTTGTTTGTTTATAAACGATAATTAATTATTAATAAACAATTACTGATGTTTAGTTCACTAGATCGATTCAGTAGATCAATATCTGCAATTTAAAAAAAAATCGTTAAAATCCTTGCTTTTTTGCGGCAGTTATAAACGATTTCATCAAAAGTTGCTATTAAGAGAGGAAAAAATAAGCGTTCGTACTCAAAGAAAAAAATTCATTATTCGAAAAATTCGCATTTCTGAGCAAAAAGAAAAAATACGTGTCTCCTTAAATTGTTCAAGGAACAATGCCTGTGAGTGTTATCGCAAACTTAAATTCACTTTCCCCCGGCCTGGGTGATTTGAGATGGAATGAGCCATTTGCATATGTAAATGCTACTTTTCTAATATGTTCTAATATATGGTACATACGAGAAAATACAAAAAAAGTAGCATTTGCATATGCAAATACATATCGTGTAAGAGCCCTGTTAGTAAACAAATTCAAAATTTGTATGGCTCACTTTATTTCAAACGCTTTTCCTTTAGTTTTGGGAAATTATAAAAATTAAGTTGAGCGAAAAAAAACATCAAAGGGAGCACGAATTTCGATGTGAAGCAAAAGGGAAGACAATACCTGTGAATAATTGTACCATGTGTCATATTTTTTAAACTCTGTAACTCTCACTATAATTTTGATAATAAAATGAACTTAACTAAATATATTTTATATCTTTTTTCCGGAGTGGAAGTGCCTACATATCCCTGCAGGAAATGTATTTAACTATAAACTAACTTAAAGTTGATTAGGAAGGAGCTCAAAGTCACTATCATCTGTATATTTTCTTTGACGAAAGCTAACTATATTTCTATGGCGATGGCCGCGAATAGTTAAGGGTGGTTACCTCTGCATTAGATGTAGTCAAGGGTGGTTACCTCTGCATTTGATGTAACTAACTCACACAACATAAAATATCAATAGGAAAAACCAATTTTTTTTATTTTATTACACTTTATATTTGTTTACATATCCTGCTGTAGGTGGTCCCATATTCGAAATCCGTCAGAAATAACTTCAAAATGATAATATGAAATTACGATCTTCCTTTATTTGTCCTCAATTCGAAAAAGTATTTGCGAAGTGCAGGATATTTAAATAGAAACGCGTTTAAAGAAAACAAACTCGTGCATTACTTGTCAACTAGTTTCAAGTTAGCTTCTTGTAGCTAACTACAAGTTATACATTTTATGGAAATCCCGCAAAAAACCTTACAAGTGGCTTTTTTTTTATAAATTGATAATTTTTTCTGCAGGGTTCATGTTAGATAGACAGATAGATGGTTAGGTATAGCACTGCGACCGGTAGGTCTATTGTGCGCTTAGCTCATCACAACACCTCGACCAGCCGCAGAGACTATAAATTTCACAATAGATCCCGGGGATAGTGAGTGTATGTGCCCCTCTCTTGGCCACAGGCAGGATTTGGATTTGCCTCGTTTTATCCCCTCGCTCGCTCGTTAGTTTGCTCTGAGTTTGCGCAACTCACGAGCAATAGGCGAGGCTGTTTGCAACCGAGCACGCGCACGCGCTGAACAGCCAGCGAGCGAGTAAGCAAACGAGGGCAGCGCAAGAGTAGAGCGGCAGCAAACGAGGACAGCGCAAGAGTAGAGCGGCAAGAAAACGAGGACCTCATTAGTTTTGCACTCGCGAGGACGTCGTTGCGAGCGAGGGACTTATTTTCAGCAGCAGACGAGCGAGGCAAACGAGGCAAGAAGATTAGACAGGCAAACGGATTGTTTGGCCAGAAAAAATGTATGGGATAAAAATTGCAGATATGTATATGCATACATATATACACATATGTATGTATTTATTTATGTATATATTCGCATGCACAGAAGAATTTTGCATACATATCTATGTATGTAGAATTTTTTTAATGCTCAATAATTTCTTACAAAATTTCAACTTATTATAGATGAAAGAAAGACCATACAAGTCCAAGCAAGTTTCATACTTTGTAAACAATTTGATTTCAACAAAGTTTTATGGAAATTTTAAACTTTTTAATCAGATTTATAGAGCAATGCTTGATGATTTTATAGCACATCACATTTTAGTATAATTATAATAAAATAAAAGTATGCCATCTACAATGAAGCTTGGCCACTAAATTAACATATTAATGAGAGATAAGTTAATATTTCATATCAATAATTGCATGAACAATGATATTTCTTGCCCTCATTTGATTCAAAGGAAAAAATATTTCACATAATTTTATTTATTTGCAACAGCTGACGACCGACGCACGCGATCTTTCTGGTTTACGCAAATTTTCCCATGTCTACATATACATGCATACATATGTCCTTGAACAACAGGCCACAAATAAATTTGTTCACAAAGGATTATGTACATATATTTCCTGCAGGTATACAGCATAACTGCTACAAGTAAATAGCAAACTATTTTGGGGTGTTAAAAGTGGAGGATGGTTCCGTGCGCAGAAGTGGAAAACTTTTGACTGCCATTCACCTGGGAGTGGCCAGAAGCGATTCTTGTGCGTACGGTTCAAATCGCAGCTCACAACGTCCGGATATTTATATCCACGTATCCTCTGGGTAGCAACCAAACACCCGTTTGGGAGCGAGCTAAAGTGAGAAGGCGTAAAACTTCGCGTGCGCTGGGTTTGGGTCCCGCCACGTTAAAACCCCGCCCAATGAAAA